ATTAATCTTGCATTAATGATCAATTTGATATCAAATCATCTCGCATAAAATTCAAAACTAAAAATAAGTAAAACACTGTAAAACACCGTGACCGTCGCTGAAACCACGCGGTAACCAGCCGATAGCCGGTTGAAGCCGACGACACGGGACGACACGGGACGACACGGGACGACACGGGACGACACGGGACGACACGGGACGACACGATGCCTCAGCGGAGAAGAAAGCAAGAATGTCAATCAAAGTTCCTTTCTTTTTTCTTGGCCTTTTTTTCGGTGGCTATCGCTGAGTGCTCAGCTGGCATCATCGACCTCATAATTTATGGCGTTCATGCTTCAACTTCCCAAAAAAAAACAAATTTATGAGGTGCCATCGCCATGTTCAGCCGGTTCGGTGAGCCTTTCAGGATTTCCTTGACGATTCCTAAGCATGAATTCCTGAGCATGAATTGAAAGAGGAAGAGATTGGCTTGCTTGCCTCCCACATTTCGACTAAAAAGGAAATGGGCTTTGAGGGCCATTCATGACCTGGATTTGCCCATTTGGAATAAATATATGCATTAGTTGCAAAGACGCAAATATCCTTGCCTTTTCTATAATCGAGAAAGATTCAAGTGATGAGGGAGGCAGGGGAGGGAAGAGAGGGAGGGAGAGAGTGAGTGGATGGAGGAGAGGGAGGGAGGGAGGGAGGGAGGGAGGGAGGGAGGGAGAGAGGGAGGGAGCATCATCGGGATCGACGATGTCATCGATGAGAGATGATGAAAGTGCGTTCCAATCGGAGTTTCATATGGTTCACTGGAGATTACATTTCGAGTAATCCTGGACGAGAGTATGAATAGTTCTTCAGCTGGGATTTATCTTCAGCTGGGATTTATCTCGGAAACTCCCAGAGGGGATGCTCGTTCAAAGGTGGAATTGGTGGTTTACCGGGTGCTTTAAGATTTGGCGTTTCAAGTGTTTCGAGTGCGTCCTATAGGTTTTTTTTTTTTAAAGGTAATTTTAAATGAATAAATTTTAGAGAAAATAACGGGGAAATTTTTTAGGAAGAAAAAAAATGGGGAAAAAAATGGGAAAAAAATGGGAAAAAAAATGCAGAGAGAGAATTGACTGGGCCCGAAAGACAGTTCCCATTTTCCTTCTGGATTCTCTTCCGCTTCACGATGAGTGACGATGAGTGACGAAAAAATGTTCAGATTTCAAGTCGAAACCTTCACTTTCATCTTTTGGTTGTCTCAATGGAAGCATAATTTTAATTGCTTCTCATACCGTCATTATTAATTAGAAAAAATAACCAAGAGCAAAAAAAAACAGAGAAAATTAGCGAAAATCATCTCAAATCTTTGCTGACCAAAAAAAAAGGAGAAAAAGAAGAGAAAGAAGGAATTAGTAAACACTTAGGAATGAAATTGGTAAGCCGTGGAATGACGAAGGATTCAATCAGATTCAATCGTCCATCAATCAAGGGGAAACATGCAATTGGGGGGAAAATTAGCATAAAAACACAATAGCAATTTTCGACGACTTTTTTATTGGGCAAAATAATATTATTGCAAGTCAGACGGAAATTAAAAACAGATATTCGTCTAATGGAACGATGAAGATCGATTGAAGATCGATTGATCGAAGTTTCCAAAAAAAAAAGTTCAAACGATGCCAGGCAAAGCCTCTGAACGTCCGAATTCACCTGAAAACCTGAAAGTCAGAAATTCATATTGGACTCATCGACAGTCAGGAAGCGTCTCAGCTAGTGCTGTAAATCATCCCGTCGCGATTGCCGGGATTGAGCGCCCGATCGAGTTTGAGAAAAAACTCGCGATGAACCAGCAGGTCCATGACCTGCAGGAGCTGGCGCAGGAGGAACCAGTCGCTCCATTCGAGCCGCCGGCACACATCCTCCACCGTCTTCCTCTCGCAACCGCGCACCTGAAGGAGGAGGAAGCGTGCTCTGGGCACGCAAAGCACGACAGCGCGGCATATAACGCCCGCCGCTGTGATGACCGCGAGGATGATGAACCAGAACCAGAGCGCGACGAAGATCTTCTCGTTGATGACGTTCGCGGGCAGCACGCACAGCGCGTCCAGGTTTTGAATCGTCCCCGACGGCCCGTAACGGTGGAAGTCGCACTTGCCGAGCAGTGGGAACGTTTTCCTCATCGTCGTCGAATCATCCAGGAAATCTGACCCGTACCGAAGAAACTTGCGACCGATAAACCGATCCGTGACGAAGAGTTCGAGCAGCACGTGCGCGAAATTGAAGGATTCGCAGAGCAGGAACGTCCACGCCCACACGCGGTGCGTGCGAAGGCTCTTCTCGAGATACGCGGCCAGGCGCTCCTCCTTTCGATCCCGATCCTTCACGTTGGACTTGTTCAGACCCTGAACGATTTTGTGCAGTTTCCCGTTCTCCAAGGACTTCCAAACCAGATGCGGCAGATAGAAGAAAATCGCCTGGAGAAACAAAACGAACGGGACCCACTGATAATACGCGTGATACTTCTTCGTCCCGACACCCAACCCAACCACTTTATCGGCATCCTCCCCGGTCTGCCCCTCCAAAACGGTAAAAGTGGCCGAAATCCAGCAGTACGTGTTGATCGCCTTCACGAACTCCTTCTTGTCCCTCTTGTCGTGCGTGCACTCGATCGGCTTCCCGAACCAATCGTGAGCCGCCACCAGGAGGCAAAACGCCGCCAGCAGACCCGCCGTGAACCGATAGTGGAGCTTGAACACGCACCCGTCCACACGGAGAGTCTCGTGCGACCTCCTCACAATCACCTTCTTGAAGAGCTGCTTAAAAACCGAAATCATCTCGACCGACTCGACGACCACGTCTGAGCACTCCGACCTCCTCCAGACGAATATGCTGACTCGAGGGAAACCGCACGCTCCTTTCCACAAAAGGAGATGCTGACGAAGGAAACATCCTTCTCTACCTTCCTCGTTCATGCCTCTGCCATCCAACCCTTTGCCATCCAACCCTTTGCCATCCAACCCTTTGCCATCCAACCCTCTGCCATCCAATCCTTTGCCATCCAACCCTTTGCCATCCAACCGTTTGCCATCCTTTCAGTCCTCCTCCCTTCGCGTGGACGAAATAAATGAAAAGGAATCTTGGGATTAATACTCCGTTAAGCATGGGTGTGGACATTTCTTCCATGCGTTTCCCCCTTCATTTCTTCCTGTTTGTCTGCTTGCAATTAATGTCCTCATATAAGAAAAAACATAGAAAAGTACGAAATCGCATAAGCAAGTGTCGATAGAGCTTTTCATTTCCCGAGTAACAAGACTCAAACATTAATTAATTAATATTTGTTATTAATTTTTGTTCTCATATTGCGCCCTTTTTCCTTTTTTTTTTATTCTCCTCAGTTCGCTCTAAATACGAAAACGCACCAGTCGGCAATGCATTTGTCAATACTTGTCAAAATAAGTATTGACAGATGGATTGACAGGCCAAAACATCGATTTTAGGCACCGAGGCAGTTGAAGGCACCGAGTTTCCCTTCAGTCAAGCAGTTTGAGGCTCATCTGGCCATCGTCTGGTAAAGACACTAAGAAGACAAATACATTTTTTAATGAATGATTTTTCTTCGTTTCAGTTTCCCTAAAATAAGCACATTCTCTTTGAAATAAAACCTTTAAGAAAAAACTTGCCTATATTAAAACCTAAAACAAAACTTTAAAAAAGACGAAAAGCTATTTAAAAAAAAAACTAAAAAGTAATCCCCTCTCTAGAGGAGGAAAATCCTCCGGGAGTCCCAAGCCCTTTAAGAGGCGGAACTACGCCCATGGCCCTCTCTCTCTCTCTCTCTCTCTCTCATTCCATCGAACGACTCATGCCCTTCACATGGATTTTTCATCATCGACGGCATGCAAACAAATGACAGGTTTTGAAGGGAGCCGGAAAAAGAGCAGGTGGAACATTTCCCTCATCCTCTGGCTTCATTCCATCATGGCTTCTCTGGTTCAAGGCAAAATTTTGCATTGAAATCTGTAGCGATCCAAAGAATTTTGAACGGAGTTCTTTAGAATTCGATAGACCGTTCATTGCACTCTAGACAGATTGGGGTGTCCGACAGCAAAAAGGACAAAAAGTCATCACGTTTCCATAATAAGCAAGAGTTCATTGTAGCAATAAGAGTTCATTGTAGCAATAAGAGTTCATTGTAGCAATAAGAGTTCATTGTAGCAATAAGAGTTCATTGTAGCAATAAGAGTTCATTGTAGCAATAAGAGTTCATTGTAGCAATAATGGGAGCATGAAGCGCGAAAGGTGTGCTTTGGTCATTCTTGTCGCCTGATGAGTCGCACCGCTAGCAGCGGCAGGTAGCTGCAAGAAAAGGCTGAACGAGGAAGCGTTCCCTATGAGCAGTTTATACTGAATCGAAAAGATGTTAAAGCAGAGCGAAAATCGGGAATTCCGAGGAAATCTTGAAGAGCAGAGGCGCAGTCCAGCGACTTTCCTTGAGCGTTCCCGAGCTAAAAAAGAAAAAATCGAGCTCATTTAGCAGATGCGACGGTGAGGAATATCATAGGAATAGGATGAATAGGAATGAATATGCATTCAGTCCTTTCAATCCGTGGAAACTGAGTGGATGCGAATCGGGGGATGCGAATGCGGAACCGAAAGACATGCTTGGTGGCGGGGGAATGGGCGATGCGATCGGGGGAGGCCGGCCTCCTTGCTCTAGCATGCTTCTGTCATGCCCTCATGCTTCGCCTACAAGCCAGGGGAGGCCTCCTGGCTATGTCCTTCAATCCGGGAGGCCAGATGAAGAAATCTCGGATAGACCGGTTTCTCGCATTCCGAAGTATGCACGATTTCTTCCAACCAAACTCTTTAAAATTGCTCAACGCCAGCACGACTGCGGTTCATGCCAATGCTTATGCTCATCATGGATTCATCGGAAATGAGCCCTGTAAAGGGTCCTTCACACTGTACGCAATTCTGGATGATCTTCGAGCAGTCGAATAAAAATGGCTTCTTCCTATTATTTTTTTCCTCTATTTGGATCTGCATATTTTTAGAGAAATTTTATGGGACTTCCAGTAGATTTTCTGCACACAGCAAAAGTTCGTGCAATTCCAAATAAATTTTGCACAATTTCTGTGCAGTAGAGTAAAAAAAAGTTCCTTTAACCCAATAGAAAATCTTTAGAATTTCTTTACTTTGTTTTCGCAGAATTCAAAAGAAATTTTATTGTAATCTTGGCTGGATCTTCACAGATTCTCAATGGAATTTCCATGCATCGATTTAATACAAATCCAGGGTAAAAACAATCGAATTCCATACGACCCTTTATAATTTTTTAATGCAATCTATTGAACATTTTTTCCAGGGATGGCATCGAGGAGACACTATGCTGACAAAAAATTCGTCGAGTGAAAATGACATAAATAACTGATCGGGACCGATGAAACTCTTCACGCTTGACAATGGCACGATGAAGGCACGATGTCACGCCTGACAATGGCACGATGAAGGCACGATGTCACGCCTGACAATGGCACGATGAAGGCACGATGTCACGCCTGACATCACTTCATCTGTGCTAGATATTCCTCTCTCTGCGATCCTCTAGATCAGCGGTTCCCAAACTGTGGGTCGTGACCCACTGGTGGGTCGCGAGAGGCATCAAGGTGGGTCGTGTACATTTCCCCCAGTATAAAAAATCACAACATCTGCATCCGCTCGGGATGAAACATGCCCTGCAGAAAAATTCGATCAGTTTTCTCACGTCTTAATTACATTGAAAAAAAAACCTCGTTCTGGACTCCGGTGGGTCGCGAAATTTTCGGCACGTCAGCAAGTGGGTCGCGATCCAAAGAGGTCATTATATGCACCGACCGATTATATTACTCAAAAAAGAAAATCATTGTTGAAATATGATTATGTAGCGAATACAGTTCGATGAAGTTATGAAGTGTAGCTATTAATTCAAGTAGGGCGAAGCAAATTTAAGTGTTTAGCGCCATTTTGCTCTTAAATATGCACGATCTGTAACCGCTTGTGCATGAATTGAAGTTTTTTTTATTAATAATCTAGCTAAATGCATGTGGATACAATTCGTTCAATGGAATCCGGTGAAATATCGCGCAATGCCGTTTTAAGTAAAAAAAAAGGCTAGGTTCGCAATATTGGTATTAGCTGGAAGCTGGTGAGTCCCAGTCATCGGTTGCAAGACATTTTAGCGTCCGAGTACCGTCTCGAGGATTGTGGGACTGGTTCCCGCAATATCAGTGCATTCGACATCTGCGGGATCAATTTGTTACTGCAACTTCTGCAGCATCAACAGCGCCAAGAGGGCGTTGAAAGTGTTAGCTCAAACCAACAGACACTTTTATGGGTTTGTACTGAAATACCAGTACAGGAAACTTTTGCTGGTGTCGCAGGCAAAGGGTATGCTCTCTCAAAGAGAACAGTCATATTCAGTGATAAGTCCCGGTTTAGTCCGAGAGGTACTGATGGTCGCACTAAGTACTGTCACTTTCTTTTTTTTTTCTCGTTTCTTTTTTGAATGAGCATACAAGCAGGCCGTTCCAGGCACAGAAAGGACCAAACTTATGATCCACAAAGAAGCTGAAGTAGCTCGTTCGTCATGATGAAGCCCTCAAACCATTCCTTTCCTCTCCTCAAAATGTAATTCATGCCTATAACCTTGCTCAGGCTGGGGTTAGGGGGCAGATCATCCCGAGATTTAAGGGAAAGGCCGATATACTCTCATAAACCAACCTGGGATGCTTGAGTGGTTTATGGCAGGGGGGAAAGAGACATTCGTGGAAGGACAGAGTTGTCATATGTTCAAGACATATGACAACTTTTTACTTGAGACGTACAGGAGAGCTCCATAGCACCCTTTGCAATGCAGGCCATTCGATGCAATCTAAATTCACACTTGGAATCTTTTCAGTCCCTGGCCTGGTACAGGTAAACAGATCAGACGAAGTTGAGGCTGCACGTGCTTCCACAAGAATATGATGACCGACCGGTAACCTGAAACCAACTTGGCTGGTCAGTCCACCTCCGTTGCCGTATTTGATGAGGTTCCAATCAGCACCTTGGAAAAATTACCTCACCTCCTCAATCGGAAAATTCTTTGGCCTCATCCATCAATTCTTTTGTTAGGCAGCAAGTGCGTTTTTTTTTTAAACAGGGAATGAACAATACAAGTCACTCAAAATGCGACTAATCCAAAACAACGCTAGGCTTCTAAGTACGGCTTTGTGGCCCTTTTTATGACTCTGTTCAGTCTCATGCTGGGCATTGACAAGTTAAAAAAAACTGGCACCCCCATAAAGGGTCCATGTCGCCTGATCCGTTCTGGGACTGGACCATTTTATATGTACCGTCAGAGTATTCGCGATGTGGCAGCAATGAGACAAAGGCGGAAGCCAGGTGGGGGTCGGGATCCAGCCGGAGACCCGTTCCGGCGACCCGTTCCGGCGACACGTTCCGGCGACCCGTTCCGGCGACACGTTCCGGCGACACGTTCCGGCGACACGTTCCGGCGACACGTTCCGGCGACACGTTCCGGCGACACGTTCCGGCGACACGTTCCGGCGACCCGTTCCGGCCTGCACCACTCAGTTTTTTCTGGAAAGGTATTCCAGGGAGGAAGACGAAGAAAAAGAAGCAAGATCATGAAAACGAGACATGACGTGGAAAGTGCCTCTATCTCCATATGGAAGTACATATTGCTGAAAAAAATTGATGCATACATGAAACTGAACATGATAAGGCACCAGCCAATTGGAGATTACAAGCGGAAAAAGGGATACATGATAGGTAGCATACAAATACAATAGGAACAAGTACAGGTAGAAGAAAATGGATGAGAATCAGGTTAAATCAAGTTTAAGAGCATACAATTTGCGGCACAAACTCCGAATCACCAGATTGAGGTGGTAACCTGAAATCCGAAGTCTTATTTACAGGAAGCATCAAACCCGGTGTTCGGGAATCCTTCCGTCGCGATTTGCAAGGTTGATCACCCGATCGAGTTCGAGAAAAAACTCGCGATGAACCAGCACGTCCATGTGCAGCAGGAGGTGGTGCAGGAGGAACCAGTCGCTCCAGTCGAACCGCCGGCATACATCCTCCACCTTCTTCCTCTCGCAACCAGGCACGTTAAGGAGGCCGCACGCGCTGGGCACTCGCAGCAAAACCTGACGGCACATAACGCCCAAAGCCGTGAGTACCGCCAGGAAAAGGAACCAGAACCAGAGCATGACGAAGATCTTCTCGTTAAGGGCGTTGCCATGCAGCACGCACAACGCGTCCAGTTTTTGAATCGTCCCTGACGAACCATAATAATGGAAGTCGCACTTTCCGACCATTGGGAAGATTTTCCTCAGCTTTGTCGAATCATCCAGGAAATCCTGCCCTAACCGAAGGAACTTGTAATCGATAAACCGATCCGTGAGGAAGAATTCGACCAACACGTGCACAAAATTGAGGGATTCGCAGAGTAGGAACTTCCCCGCCCAAACGCGATGTGTGTGAAGGCTCTTCGCGAGATACGAGACCAGGCGCTGCAGTACTCGATGTCGATCCTCGGCCTTGGAGTGATTGAGATCCTGAAGGAGGGAGTTCAGCTTCCCGCCCTCTAAGGACTTCCAAGCCAGATGCGGCAGGTAGAAAAAAATCGCCTGAAGGAACAAAAAAAAGGGAACCCATTGATAATACTTGTGGTATTTTTTAGTGCCATCATGCAGCCCGGTATCCTGCCCGATCTGTCCGTCCCGAACGGTGTAAGTTGAAGAAATCCAGCAGTACTTGTTGACCGCTTTCGCGAAATCCTTGTTTTTCTCCCTATCGTGCGTGCACTCGATCGACTTTCCCACCCATTCGTGAGCCGTGGCCAGAAGGCAAAGCACCAGCAGTAGATTCGTCGTGAACCGATAGTGGAGCTTGAACATCCAACCGTCCACATGGAGAGCCTCGTGCGACCTCCTCACAATCACCTTCTCGAGCACAGGCTTAAAGAAATCAACCATCTTCACCGATTCGACTACAACGTCTGAGCTCTCCGTTCGACTTTCCTATCGAGAAAGGATATACTGTAGGATATTCGACGAGGATATTCGATATGACTCACGAGCCCTCCGCTTCCTTCCTCCGTTGTCGTGTCTCCCTTTTCAATCCATCTGAATCATCCACCCTTCAACTATCCTCCTTCCGGTCCTTCTCCCTCCGCGTCAACGGAGAAGCGAAAAGGATGCTTGGGAGTTATAGCCCCATTCAGAACAGAAAGAGCCCTTTCTCTCATGCGAGTCCATCATTTCCTCCGCATTATTTGGGCTTGCAATTCGTGTAGCAATAAAACAAACACAGAATGAAATATATTCACGTTATTTCATCAAGTATGTGTTAAAGGTTGGGCTTTTCAAGTTTCCTTCCTCAAATTTTGTTCTGTGGATTCCAGTTCGCACACAGTGTTTTTCTGCTGGGTATCTCATTTCCCCCTCAGAAAGCAGGAAAAATGAAAACCCTACCGATCGAAAAACGTAGACTTGTCACCAGAAAGAGGCGAAATCTTCCCGTTCAAATTTGCGGACTCAGAAAATGTGCATGCTGTTACCTTGAAAAACTGAGTACGAGTAACGAATCGGAAATTTATACTCCAGAAACACCTAACGATTGCAAGACGTCTTCAGTCTTCCAATACGGAATTGCATGTCTCCCAATTTCCTCCACGTAAGATCCATTTTTCCCGATGTTACTATTTCATTCGTGCATTTTCGAAAGGGAAATAGCAAGATGAAACTTGAGACCGTTATCCCGCCCGTCCGTCAAGGCGAAGAGAATATCGGTTGCTCGTTCCCGCCATCGCCGATTCTACAGGCAGCCTCAAGAAGGGCGGAAGAGGAGGGCAAATGGGGAGAAAAAACGGGTTGAAACTCCCCCGGGAGGGAATATCTTTCCCAGATTTGTCAGGCTCTTCAGGCGGCGACGCAAGGGGAAATAATTATTTTATTTGAATGGCAAAGGGCAAGGTCCATGCCAACTCGCAATGGGAACATGGGAAAAAAGTACTGAAAGGGAACTGAACGTGGACTGAAAAGAAAGCTTAACTCATCAATGCATATTTAATATAACAATTTGACGTCATACCGTTTGTGAAGGCGAGGGCTGCGGAAGAGGACCGACACAAAGGTGGATAATTGAGGTTGAAAGTTCCCTGGAAATCTTCAAATCCTCTGGAAATCCTTCCTCTTTTCCGTATTCAACGGAAGACACTCTAAGGATTATCTAAGGATTATCCTATGCGTTATCCGGAGTTGGAAGCGTGGTGGATCAAACGGTAATGCTCAAGTAATTAAATGAGACAACAGTAACTTGAGGGAGATTCCGACATCCCTCGGGATGTCGTCTGACTCCCCGCCGACATCCGTTCAGATCGGGGATGTCATCCGTCCCGGCTTCATGTCTTCAGGTCTTCCGACGCGCGAGACCGAAATTCCAGTCTTCTCTCTCGGGGTGCGAAAACAGTCACGAACGAGAAATCGTGTCTCAGTGGGAAGTAGATCGAAGTTGCTATATTGAGAAATTCCGAGAAATTCCGAGAAGATTAAAGGGCAGAAAATTAAAGACCGAAAATTTAGGTCGAGCTCGATTAAAGGACGGGAAAGCGATGCAAAATATTTTTCGCTTGGGAATTTTTGTCGGCTTCTCCTTAAAAGAAACTTTTGCTCCAAGGCTCTTGAAGCCAACTTCGAACGGGCCGACACCCCTTTTCACTCAAATGAGCAGTGTCGACATCTTTCCTTCTCTTCGAGAATCAAGTATATTGATATTACGTTAAGACGAGTTGACATTAATTCTCCCGATGAGTAGTCTTCGATGAGACGTAAGGAATAGGAACCTGAAGTGTCCACAAATTTTTCAGTCTATATAATCCCAGCAACGACGCAGGAGCACTCAAATAACATGCTTGAATCATGAAGAATGAGGGAAAAGTCTCAGTAGCAACCAACAAGGTTGCCTGAAGAAGCGAGAAAACCGTTTCTTAAAGGCTTTAAAGGATAGAAATGAATAAAATTACAAGAAAAAAATTCCTGAGAATCATTAGATTCCGTAATTCAACAAGTTTTCCTCGACGGGATCATCCCAATCAAGATTTGACTCGGCTGCCGAAAAAGGAATTTTCTTCCTACACTTCTGCTTCGGAACCGGCGACATTTTCGGCGACATTTTCGGCAACATTTTCGGCGACATTTTCGGCGACATTTTCGGCGACATTTTCGGCGACATTTTCGGCGACATTTTCGGCGATATTTTCGGCAACATTTTCGGCGATATTTTCGGCAACATTTTCGGCGACATTTTCGGCAATCTTTTCGGCAACATTTTCGGCGACATTTTCGGCGACTCGCTTCGAAAATCCCGGATGATGGCCGGGATCGTTTCTTGAGCGATTCAGCCGGCGGGATTCACCTTCGCGACGGGCTCCTTCAGCTTCTTCCGGGAGCCTGTTGCCAAAAGTTTGAATATCTTGTTGGATGGGCGAAGATGAAGAGAGAAAAAAAAAAGTTTCTGAGCCTGGAAGGATTCGAGATCGATCTCGAACAGCCAGACATGTTTTCTCATGATTTGCTCGTGTTAAAGGCTGTGGACCAAGTCCAAGCCTTTCTTTGAAACTTTTTCTGATTTCTTCAGTCCTAAGTAGCAATTATCGGGAGTCCAAGCAATAGGCAATATTGCAAGAGGCACTCGAAGATGCGAATCCAAAAGGAATGAAATGAAATTTCCGGGAACCGTGAGAGACGAGACATATTCTGTCATTCTTTTCAGATGGCTTTGCCGGACATGGCATGTAACGAAGGCGAAGGAACAGGCCGGAAAAATTCGTTACAGGGAAAATTCGTTACGGGGAAAATTTGTTATACGGAGGTTCGCTATATCGAGCGTCGACTGGCCTTGGGACGACCAGACATTCGCTGCCTCCCCGGCCTTCATTATCTCGCATTCCCATAGGTACTATGGGGAAATGCCAGATGTAGATGTCGGTCCCTCACTTTTTTAATATTCCGTCTGTCCGCAGTAACCATGGCGACCGGAAAACACGATCCAACGCGCATGCGCAGCTTTCAGCCTGGGTCGGGGTGACCGTCCTCGACGAAAACATCCACTTCCCTTCCAGCCCTGGCGACTGACGGATCCATAGAATACAATGGGGAAGAGCGGCTGCTCCCGGCCGCGTAGACAAGGTTGCTTGGCGTACGCATGAAATGCCGTATCTGGCATCCTGCACTTCATACTGCAACTCATACTGCAACTGCACATCGCCTCGCGGACGAGCGGACCATCGAGAACATGTCTAGTTGCCTTTTCGTATTATTTCAAGGTTGGAACGTTAGGATGCGGTGAATATATATAATTATTCCAGTGGTACAGGGGCGAGTGGAATGCAATATCTGTACCTGGGCTGGTACGCTCTAGTTATCAACTTCATCTGGTGATTCAAATGTTCCCAATAGGTGCTTACCTTTCGTGGAGAGCTTCCCCGAGCAAAAAAAGAATCAAATAGGCGATCAGCTGCTCCATTCTGCTCCATTTCTTTCATCCCTCGTCTTCGACAACTCCAGCAGTTTCCACGATGCACTCTGATGGGGCGACGGTGGCGAAGTGGAGGCTGGGGGAAGTGGGGATTCACAATCCGATCCATACCCGTGAGGAAATTCATACACGATGACGACAAAAATATAAGAATACCGTATATGATATTTCTAAGAGAGGCAAATTCAGTATAAGCAAGAGCTTATACTGAATATAAGCTTTCATTCAAAAGTTGCGGCTAGGCCATCATGCATGGCCGACGAACTACTGGCCATCATGCATGGCCGACGAACTACTGGCCATCATGCATGGCCGGCGAACTACTGGCCATCATGCATGGCCGACGAACTACAGGCCATCATGCATGGCCGACGAACTACAGGCCATTAATGGCGGGGGATGGCGACATCCAGAATCATGAAGACATTGAAAAAGTAAATCGAGGATTTTCTTTGATTTTGCATTAAAAAAAAACAGCTGATAGCCTGAAATGAAGTATCCCATTTCGTCACAGTTCGAAGACGATACCAAGTTTCCGATCGTGTCAGCGGATCCGCGAAATTTTTCTTCATTTTTACAGAAACTGGAGACCGAAACGCGGTTTCCGCGGATTCCCGAATTTCAGCGAATTCGTTCTACTCTTGAAAGTCAGTTTTTTGTTGCCACGTTTATCTCATCGTCACTTGCAAGCGGACAGGACCGAGCCTCTTTATTGTTTCTTCGCGATCTTCGGGCATGCACTCTTAGAAAAAAAAGGAGCGATCTAAAAAAAAGAGAGGAAAATCGCTAACTCTAGTTTCACTCCTCTTTCACTCTGGGAAAGGAGCGACTTCGCTCCATTCTCCAAGGAGTGAAATTGTTCTCCGTGATTAAAAAAACGGCCCCGCCCCCAGAAGGAGATAGGGATGCCATGCAAATACGAAAATTCTTAGCCCAGGCAATCGCCTCACCGAGAAAACCCCGATTCCTAAGTGCTCGACCCCGATTCGAGATGGTCAGAAAATTCCTCTCCGACGTGAACTTGGAAAGGGAATCCGATGAGACTCTGGTGATTAACTCCGATGAAAATTGTTCGCTGCCGTGACAGCGACTAGAAGCCGCCGACGGTGACAGTTCTTGAAGAACTGTCACCGTCGGCGATGGAGAAAGAAATCGAGTGAATTTCAAATGGCTCACGTTTAACTCCTAAAGCTCCATAAAATTTCCAAGCGGCTTTCTTCGTTCGATTTCTTCACTTTTCTGCAATCCCATATTTTTAATTATTTATTTATTTAATTTCATGATTTAATTATCAATCTTCCCATTCCATTCCCGGCCTGAGCCGAAGAGGAAGGAAATGCAGGGGAAAGGCGCTGTAAATTTCATCTCAAAGAAAAGGCGC